ATCAATAGCTATTCGAATTAGACTTCTGAATCGTCGTCCTTCATTCCCGATAATCCTGTCTATTAGATAACATAGTTTCCCTTTTGGCGAACTTTGGAATCAGGAACGTCGAAAAATAAAAACAGTTTGACTTTTCCCACAGTGAATCTCGAGGGAAAGACTACAGCTGAATTTTTGGATGAAAATAAAAATTATCCGAGAATTTTATGACACAGACTAGTATATTTAGCGAATTATATTATCTAAAAGAAAGAGCTTTCATACAAAAATGTTCAGAGAAATATTGCATAGCTTAACGATCCTCCTCAATTGCCAAATGAACTATGATTGACTTTTGTTTTTGATAATTATATCGTCAATTTTCTACTCTTCTAGACAAAAAAAAAACGACATATTTAATTACTTATAAAAAATAGTGACAAAGGTACTTCAATATTGTAAAGAAAGGTCGAGGAAAATTTTGATAAGAACTGTTTGTTATGATAATATTTAAGCATCTTTTTTTTACAAAAGATAGTAAGTCACGACTTTTACACCTTTAGAAAGAAGATGCATTGAATTGTATTTAAAAAATTCCAATTATCAGGTATGTATTCTTATCGAAATTTTATTATTATGAATGTTAATTGAACAAATATAAAATACTATTTTTACAATTAATATATATAGAAAATTTCTTCAACCATTTCTGGGTTTTTGAAGATCGTATAACCAATCAAACTGAAATTTTTACTAAAAGCTACATCCGCGTACATTGTCATTTCCATAAAACTTTATTTTTTTCGACATACCAAAAACTCTCTTGAAAATAATTTTAATCTCAATTTGTACTTTCTTCGAGAACTAGAAACGATAAAACAATAAGAAGAGCTCCCTATTGTATAGTCTGAAGTAGTATCTACCCTACTGAATATTCAAAAATTGTTTTTAAAAGTTAAAAAACTCATTAATTTTTAAAGTTTTTTTTTCAGATACTTTGACAGAATTTTTGTTTTGTGTAGCAACTAGAATCAAATCGGATTGTATCTGCATATTTTTTTTTCTTAAAATAATATTCAGCAAATCTTACAAAATCTGCTCTAAGCAAAAAACAACAATATTTTTCAAAGAAAATTTTCAGGTGAAGCTTCAAGTTATTTTTATAGAAGCAAGCATTTGGGAACTTTGTACCTATGACAACTTTTGTTCGAACTGTTCTTAAGAAATTCTCTCCTTTCTGAATTTGCATACTCAATGAAAAACCAAATATCGAAAAAAAAAAAAAAATTATAATATTTCCTAATTTGAAATTATCAATCTGTTCTCATATACCTTCGAAATTAAATTTACTTTCCAAAAGGTTATTTTAACACAACACGTTTCAATAAATCTATTCATAATCATTTGTCACAAGTCATAACCTTATTCAGTGTAATCATATTTTAATTATACTAAATCTATTAATGATTATAACTTATGAAAAAAGAAAAAAAAAAAAATTTTTTCGTTAACAAATATGTAAATAATTTTTGTTTTTCTTTTGCTTATCTATGAAATAGAATACAAATGTATTTCCTATAAATGATGTAATTACAAAATAAATTTCTATTTCGAAATTTTTTCTAACTCATATTCTACATACATGGAGAATTTAAATTTTCACTTGGTGTTGATGGTGAAATAATTGATACTGATAAATTTCCTTGTCCAAGACCTTTTGAAGCTGTTGTTTTCGATGCATGAGGTACAATTTCAATTTCCTATATATATTTATTTATTTAATTAAACATAAATATTTTAAAATATCAATCTTACATCTGACGGCATTTCAGCTAATTTTTCATAAAAAGCTTTTTCAAGTGTTGCACCCATAATTACAACATCCTTGTAAAATAAAAAGGAAATTTGTTTATTTTTTTGTTTATGTGTATCTTGTTTAATTACTTCGCCTGGTTTATTATATAAATAACAATCAGTAAACATCATATTTAAATCTGTTATACATTCTTTAGCACTATAATAATAATTAGATTCGAGACGTTTTTTAATTGTACCAAGATCCATTGGATATTTGACGATTTTATGATAATCCTAATGAGAAAAAAAAAAGACTTTTTTTTTTTGAAATAATTTTAATATTAAAGATTATACAGGTAAATGTAATTTATTAGCATTAACTGGTTTTTTAAATGGCCAAGAAAATTCATGTTTCCATAAAGTTTTAAATAAAACTTTTGACATGAATTGTAATTGATTTGTTTGACGGCCACGTTTTGATGCTGAGATATGTGGTACTTTTATAGGAATTGTATTTGTTGTCTATGAAATTATAAGAAGAACATAATGTTAAAATAAGTTTATATATATATATATTGAAAAATCAATCACCTTCATGATGTAATATAATAGAGAGTAATTAGTTTTCAATAGAAAAAGACAATGAATGATGAGCCGATAATAATGAATTATAATCGTTTGGCTTCATCTAAAAGAATAAATAATTTTTCTTAAAGAATTTTTTTCTTTTTTTTTTTTTATATATTATATTATTAGAAATATTATTAAGAATCATATAAATGACAGATATTGTTATTATTCACCAAAGAAAAATCAACAAAATGTCTGAAACAAAGAATCATCGCCCTATTGTTTCCTTTGTTAATGAGCCTTCATAGTCAATTTTATGCATTAGAATGCATAGATGTGTTAGTTTTAATCATTTCTTCTTTCATTCATAGACAGAACGGAAAGAAAGAAAGAGGCAGACCAACACGCACGTAGAGTAGACATTAAAAAAACGGGGATTTTTCCTTTTTTTTCTTCTTCTTTCTTTCATTGAGTTATGAGTTTTATGATGGAATGTGATGGCTCGATGCCAATTATGACGAAATATGTGTAATCGTAGATGTCGCAGTCATATTCATCAAAGAAACCAGAATTTTTATAACGATAAGAGTATATATACATATTGCCGATCACAATTGATTGTAAAGCCGAACAATAACTTGACTCTTCTAATATTTCAAAAGAAATTCGATGCATTAAAGATGATTTTCAACAAAATACAGATCATATTTCTTAGTTTATTTGCATTAAAATAGCATTTTCTTTGTGCTTTAAAACTTACTTATAGTAGATAAATAATAGTAAAAAACCACATGTCTTACCTTCGATAAAAATTAATTATATACTTCATTAAAAAAGACTACACCTAAATTTCAAAGTAATCAAACTACACTTCGTGTAATTTTGAAGAGGAACAACATTATACATGTATATATTTTTTCTTTTTTTGATTTTCTCGTTATAACAACTAGAATATTTTTAAAACATGTTTCTTTTTTATGAATTATACAATGAATTTTGAATTAAATGAAAAGAATAGTTGTTTTTTTTTTTACCTAAGACCGCGAATTTAGAGTAGAAAGAGCTCGAAAAATCGATTTAACTTCTGAAATAGAAAAAAGAACGATTGTAAAAAATACGATACAATAATAATGATTTATATAACGCAATGATATTGACATGATAAAAAAAGAAACGAATTTTTTTGTTTTTGTTTTGACAGATACTTATCTAATCGAAATGATTCAGTTTCGATATGCAATGATTATTCATTTACACAAGTAAAGAGAAACAAATGATTGTTATTATTACTAAACTTTTCGTAAAAAATACGAATTATAATCAATAGAATCTAATCGAATTGACAAGACAAACAAGAACAAAAAAAATTAATTCTTCTCTTCACAAGTTTTCAGTAGAAATTTCATTCTTTATCTAATTGTAAATACATAATAATAGAGTTGAATCAATTGTCGACTATATTCAAGTTCTTAATCAAGAAAAAAATACAATGATTTCATACAATAGATGCATTGACCTACATATAAACAAATATAACAAACCATTGATGAAAAATTAATCTTGAATAATATAATTATTATTTATGATCATTAAAATAATATGTTTCATATATTAATTTGTTTTAAACGGATAGAGTTTAATTATATCATATAATGATCCAGCTTAGTTATATAAGAAGATAAACTGATTTATGTCTAACTTGACAACACAAAAAGAAAAAGTGATAATAGAAACATCATTAGTTACATACTTCGTTTGAGTTGTTGACAGGCCTTGCATGTTGTGTCAACGAAAACCGAGGCAAAGATAATCATCGAAATATTTAAATAAAAAGATAAATGCATTAGAGTCATTTGACAAGTTATCTTAAATACGAAAATATGATTATATTTTGCATGACATCAAGAAAATAGATAGAACGAAAATAAAAACATAATATTTTCTTTTTCTTATTCGTTAGAAAGATAGAACACGCCATCGTCTTATATTATTATTCATCATATCATCAAACACATGACTGCATCATATTTTGCTATTACAGGTGGATGTGGTTATATTGGTTTACGTCTTGCTCATTATTTACTTGAAATAAATCATTCAAATATTGTATTTTTACTTGATATTCATCCTCCATCGAATGATAACCGATCATATAATTTTGATTTAAATCGTTTAATTTATCGTTATTGTGATATACGTTCTTATAAATCTGTTTATAATGCTTTATTTAATGTTACATGTGTATTTCATTTAGCTAGTTATGGTATGTCAGGTAGAGAAATGTTAAATAAATCAATGATATATGAAGTCAATATAATTGGTACTGAAAATATAATAAATGCATGTATTCAACATAATATTAATAAAATAATTTATTGTTCAACATATAATGCTGTATATACAGGAAAAAAAGAATTATTAAATGTAACTGAAAAAGATTGTTCATATCCAACACAAGATAAATATTATGATAATTATAGTCGTACAAAATCTTTAGCTGAACAAATGATTTTAAAAATTTCTTCATCAAAACTTTCAACAGTTGTTATACGACCAGCAGCTATTTATGGTGATGGTGAACAACGACATTTACCACGTATATTAAATTTAGTACGTCAAGGTTTAGCATTTTTTGCTATTGGTCATAAAAATATATTATGTGATTGGATTTATGCTGATAATTTAGTATATGCATTAATATTAGCTGAAAAATCTTTACCTAAATATTCTGGTGAAGTTTATTTTATATCTGATGATAAACCAATTAATAATTTTCAATTTCTATCACAATTAACAAAAGGATTAGGTTATGATTATTGTTTTTTATTTTATATACCAACTATTATTATGTTTTATTTTGGTTATTTAATTGAAATTATACATAATTTATTTTCTAAATATATTTATAATTTTTCTCCATTTCTTACACGTGCTGAAGTATTAAAAGTTGGTGTTACACATTATGCAAATATAACAAAAGCAAAAAATCTATTAGGTTATCATGTTAAAGTTAGTCCAGATGAAGCTATGCAAAAATGTATTCAATGGTTTGATGAACATGGATATAGAAAGACAACAAATCAAAATAATTATAAATATATATGGTTAATTTTAATAAGTTTAGTAATATTGATAATTTTTACTTTTTTATAAATCTATCAGATAGAAAATGTGTTGTTTGATTTACAAATAAAAGTTTTTTTACGTTGAGACTGAATAGTTGGTGTATTAAACATGAACTACCGAATCAGAATAGGAATAATAATGAATAGCTTAATAAAACTGGGATACTTATTTTATTTTTTTCCATTGTAAATAGATGCCGAATCAATATTAAAAAAAAACATAGAATCCACTTTCGCACTAGCTTTAGGTGTGCGCCTTGTGTTACGTCAGAACTTGACAAATTTTAGGTTAATACACAACAAACGTCTTTTATTTATCAGACAACACGAAGATTTCTATCTCAATAGGAGAACTTTTCCTCGTCTATATTACATTCTTGAAGTCAAGATATTGTGGTCGTATACGGAGCTTGAAAATCTGTGCCTATGTCGATATATTCACTTATGCAAAAAATATAGCAAAATTAGGGATGATGATTTTTAGTTATACTAAAAGTGAAAATCAGTATTTATACACAATTCAATGCACCCAACAATCTGAACAGATAAAAATAATATTTTGGGAGAAAAAGTTTTCCAGAGCCTCGAGCTCATATTCACATTCAGTATTGTGTCCACTAGGTTTCAGCTGTAAAACGATTTATCACTTGCATATGTTCCCTTGTAAGCTTATTCGATAGAGAACTTTTCACTATCTAACTTATTTTTCTTGTCCGCGAAAAATTGAAAAGAGGAAACCCTACTCGATTATCCAAGTGCGGTTTCCTATTTTCCGTAGACATCTATCGATTTTGTGCTGTGTCCTTGCTCCTAGTGCTCTTGTTCAGAAGAAAAAGGCTCGAAATTAACATCTGCCGGAATTTTTTGGAAGTTCATGTTTTCAAAAGAAGTAAAAAAGAATAATGGCATACGCCAGTTTGGTGTTTTCACTTTTTTTTGTGAATAATATTCCTTCCGAAATTCCAATTAGACAATTTTGTAGAGCGAAAAATTCTCTATCGAGTGAGCTTAAAATAGAGCTGTTGAATATATTGCCGTTCCTCAAAAAAAATAAAGTAAAAGTATCTCATTCTTTTTGAGTCATTAATTAGAAAGGTAGACAGTTTTGCAGACACAAGATAAAAAGTAGGCGGAGGGGGAATAGCTCACATCAATACCTATGGATATCAGTGATCTAAATCTTCCATAAAAATTTTATTCTTTGACAATTGTCTTACAAACTAATACAATTTCGAGTTTTGTTTTACACGAAATACATCAGAGAGTAATATCACAATAATGACAAGAAACTTTTAGTTATTATATCTGTTCTATGAGCAAAATATCGAAGTGACTACAATGCATGTCTTTACTACGTATTAGCTTATATTGAGTTTTGTCTCAAGTTCTAAAACAAAAATTTCTGCCTAACCATCATCTACAGATTTCGAAAGCATAATTTGTATTGTACTTCTCATTCGATTATCAGAGCATTTTTTCATTTGTATATTCATATTCCATCATATCATTAACGCTATTTTTTTCAAGAATATCTAGAGTAACTTAACATACATGTAACATTAAAAAATTTAGCTCGAAGAAAACTCATTATATTGAGATATATATATGTTTTAATTTTTCGAAGTAACATCGTTAATGAATAATTTTATTCATATTAAAAGTTCAATAGGAATTCAAATCTTTTTTAGTATCTCTTGACAAACAAAAAAAAATCATTGAAATAAAAAGGAGACATCTGGAGATGTTTCGTTATATGAATAAAAACTCTGTATTATATTGTTTCATTCGTGAACAAAGTAAATAACCTCTATGAATATGTCAAACAGTAGTTAATGCAAGTACTTATTTTTATTTGAAGGTAAACATATCTTATATGATTGGTGTAATTCTTAGACAAATCGAATTATTTGTTTAAAACTATATATTTCCAAATTAATTTTCTTTCTTTTTTTCTTCATTCGATATTTCATCATTAATGATAAATTAAGTACATTATTTTTTTGTTTGAAATGACTAAAATAAAAATCAAGAAACAAATATAAACTAGTAAAGAACTAATGTAATTCAGATTTCTCTCGACAGAAAAACAACTTCTAAGATTGGTTTTTATTTTTTACTAATCTACTATTTAAGATACAAAAAAAAAAAACAGGACGTTTTTTTCAATGTCCACCGATATTGTTGACGAACCTCTATCGACATCTTACGATTTTTGTGATGCAAAAAGTGCTATTATTGTTACACTTTATGCTCATGGAGCATTTGAAGTAAAAGATATTGATATTTCTATTGAAACAGATTCACTTGAAGTTCGTACACCAGGTAAACAAAGAACAAAAAAAAATTTACATTTATTTTTCTTTTTTTTTTTTAATAAGTACATGAAATATGGATATTTCAATTATGGGAACATATTTATTCTGATCGTGGTGAAATTGAAACAAAAATAAATGCAGCAAAAACACAAACATCAATTGAAATACGTTTAATAAAACAACAACCACGTAAAACATGGCCACAATTATATAGTTATGGTTCAATACCAATAACACCACAACGTGATAATCAATTAAATGAATATAATGATATTTATATGATTGATCAAGAACAATATGATTTATCAATAAAAAAATTAAAAACAGATTTTTATGAAACAAATGATAAATTTACATCAAATATTTATATTAAACAAGTCTATGATTGTCAATTACATTTTACTGAAACAAATTTTACAGCTACTTTTCATACAAAGTATTAAATATATAAATTTATTTAGTTTTTTTATTGTAATATTTGTTCTTTTCTTTGTTTTTTACTTTAGTGATGAAAATTTTCTTAAAATTCATGGAATAACATCTGATAGATCAATAAGATTATTTGTTCGTGTAAAAGAACGTATTATACCACATAAATGTTCATCAAGAATAACACAAACATTTATTGAAATCATACTTATTAAAGATAATCCAAATAGTACAACAAAATGGGGTCGACTTGAACCAAATGAATATTCGGAATCTCGTCCACTTATCCAACAAACATCACCAAATACACCACCATCATCACCAAATTCTACAATGATTAATTCAAATAAAGGTAAATATTTTTTGTTTTTTTTTAAAATTAGTTAAAAATGTGTTTTTTGTTTTGTTTTTGTTTTTCACTAATGTCATTACTTATCTGATGACTAATCGTTATTAATGATTCATCAAGTCTTATCAAAAGAAGAAATTTTTGTTTTTTTTTTTGCTTTTCAATAATTCTAATCTATATGAAGCATAAATTTCGATTCTAGAGTTCGAATTACTCTAGACATATTGTGTATCAATGAATAGAGATATTTATGATATTTACTAAAAAATAGAAAATTATTCAAAATGAAAAAACACTTTTCATTTTTTTAAGTGAATCATGTTTTAGTGTTAATCAAATTTAACTATTGCATACGATAGATATTATTGTAAAATCTGTTTCAATAAATTTTAATCTTTCAAATAACTTAACGGGTTCTATACATATGAAATTCTTTTTCTTGTATTGAATAAAGATGTCCGAGGAATCAAGTTTTTTAGTTCTGGTAACTTCTTTTCTAGTGGTTTCGGGTATCGCCTCAGTAAACCTACCCTGTTCTCGGCCTAGAGAAAACTATTTCAGAATTTATGATACTAAGCTAATTCATCGCAATAACATAACTCAATCATAATAAAGGCGCTAAACTTCAATTTTTCATCTCGGAATGTTATCATTATTAAGAGTTCTAGAAAGTCAAATAATTGGATCCATTTCTTACTTCATAATTAATGTCAATAGTATATAAAAATCTTCGCTTACGAGGTGTATCATCAAAATACTACAGTACTGGACAAAAATATAAGAACAATATATTTCTTTTTTTTTTTTTTCTACAACAACAAACATCCAACTCAAATCTAAATAGTGATTCACATAGCCAATGAAGAGCTCTATCAAATGCATCTTTTACTAAAATTTCATACGTGATTTAAGGGAGCAAGGTTTCTAGAAAACCAAAACCCGTATTTTTCAAGTTCGAGAATATTTCAGAATAATTCGTTTCTAACAGTATCATCGACTGAATCCGACAGAGTGTAGTTTTAAATATATAATATAATAGGTGATGGTTCATAAACTAACAGAATTTGCACTTCACATGTGAAAATTTCAAAACAGAAATTCATTAAAAGTTGTTGTTCAGAAAACGCTAAATTTCACTAGTGTTTTCAAAGTATTTTCTCATTATTAGAAGTCTTGAGCTGCAGCACGAATTACAAGAAAAACAAAATGTCGTTTCCATTTTGTATAGCTTGACTTAACTAACTTATTATCTGAACAAGAAGATTATCGTACTGTTCGAGATTACAAAAAAAGCCGAAGTTTAACATTTAGTAATAATTCCAATAATTATTTATAGTCATTAGATTACATATTATATACCCTAATCGAATAAGTCGATTCATTATAGAAAAAATAGATAAATTATGATTGGATTATGTCATTGCGACGAATTGTTCGGTCACCGAATTTATTTAGCCGATGACTAGCATTTTTTGGGTCATCTCTCTTGAATTATGTTCTAATAGATATGATTTATAAGAGAATTTACTTAAAGTGATTAAACATTTAACTGTAATCTTTAGTCCCAGTCTTGTTATTTCGATCTCGGACACTTTATTTACATGTAGTCTCGCTTTGGGAACGTGGTTCCAGACTCTTTACGTTCTGTGGCTCTGGCAAGCGTTCCAAAATTTCGTGTAATTGGACTCGAGACTAAAAGTTAATCTGGCACATCTCTAATACTGACATGCAAATAGTCCAAAATGTATCCGGGGATACCTATTCGTTCTTTCTTTATATTTTTCATTTCGTATAATAAAAGAATACAAATTCTAAAATTTTCTCTTAAAGAACCAATATATTCTATATGAAAATCAAGATTTGAATCATTCGTGAAGAAGGGAAAAATTAATTCCTTGTCATTGTCATATACACGTCGACCAATAGAAAAAAAAAATATACAGTTAAATGACCGTCTACTTTTTGGACTATCTATATATATTTATAAACAATAGTGGAGAGTTTTATTTTTTGCGATTTACATTGAAAGCTACTTAACTCTTATATTGATAAGATAATTTATTTTAAAAAAACAATTTTTTTTTGTTTCTAGCTATCCCATTACCACCTCCACTTCCACCACCAGCAATGGATCGAAAGGTAGATTTATTATTTTGTTTGATTAAAATTATAAAAGAAATATTTCTAGACAGAGAAATTTCCTACAGCATCAGCATTTTCATCATCAATTCATCAGAGAGATACTACATCGACATCAAATATTCCATCATCATCATCATCATTAATTGGTTTTACTGGAATATCTAATCCAGCTAATTCATGTTTTATGAATGCTGCTGTACAATGTTTATCTAATACACGTGAATTACGAGATTATTTTCTTGGTAAGAAAAAATTTTTTTTAAAAAAAATATATATATATATTTTTTTTTTCTATTAAATAGAAGCTTGCTATTTATCTGAAATAAATCGAACAAATCCACTTGGTACGAAGGGTGCCATTGCTGAAGAATTTGGTACTTTAATGAAAAATTTATGGAGTGGAAAACTTAATTGGGCTAATGCAAATCGTTTACGAGTTTGTTTTGATATATAAATTTATTTATTTAATAAAGATGAAAAACGAGAAAATTTTTAGGCTTTTGCTGCTCAAAGACATCAAGAATTTGTTGGTAATGGTCAACATGATGCACAAGAATTATTAACTATTTTATTGGATGCTATTCATGAAGTAAAAATATTTAAATTAATTTTCAATTTTTTTTTTTTTTGATAATTCATTTAGGATCTTAATCGAATAATAACTAAACCTCAAGTACCACCAATAGAAGATCAAAGTCGACCTGATCATGTAGATTATTTATTCAAATTTTTATTTCATAGAAAACTATTCGTATAATCTATTAATAATAGATTGTTGCTGATGAATATTGGCGTGGTCATTTAAGTCGAAATGATTCAATTATTGTTCAATTATTTACTGGTCAATTTAAATCGAAAACAAAATGTCCACAATGTCATAAAGTTAGTTAAATATATATATATATTTTTTTTTATAGATGATATATTTTTATAGGAATCAATAACTTTTGATCCATTTACAACACTTTCTGTACCATTACCAAAACGAACAGCTGTTGATACAATTGTTACATATAGAAATGATGAAAAACCACCGATTAAAGTTTATAATTTTTTTTTTTAGATTAAATTAAATAGGGGAATTGTGTTTTTTTTTTCTATTTAGTATCGTATTATTATGTCAGCTGATGGATTAATTAGTGAATTTAAACGTGCTTTATCTAATAAATGTGGTTTACCAGCGAATAAAGTTTGTCTCCTTTTTTTTGTATAATTATATTTATAAACGCTATATATTTTATATTAGATGATAGCATATAAAATTCGAGGTAATCGTATTGTAGATCATCTTAAAAATGATGATCGTCTTACATCAACTGGTTATTCATGGAATAATAATGATATTATTTATGTGTAAGTTTTCATTCGAATTGTGAAATAGATAATAAATACCTTCGTAGCGACTATCAAGTACAGTTTAAGAAGTTTTCTTAAGAGTAAAGCCCGAGTTCACAAAAGTTTAATCAACCGATTCCGGATCCGAAAAAAGTATTAATAACCGAATCTGGAACCGCAAAAGTTTAAACAATCGGACTCCGATTCGCATAAGTTTAATCAAGGGGGTCATTAGACAATATAGGTATTGCGCACCGTAGAGATGTTGATAGATGGCGCTGCCTCATCTATCAACGTCTCTATGGTGCGTAATACCTATGTTGTCTAATAGAGAAAGTCTTCCTTTACAAGTCTACATATGTCCTGTTGTTTGATGAAAAATCACAATGGAACTTATAAATGTCTTTGATCAACTGGGTCGAAGCTTGTAAAAATTATATCAATCGGATCTTGTTCTGAGAAAAGTGGCTCAGGTCTAGGTTCGAAATTTTTAGATCTGATGAGTTTTAGTCTTACTTTTCTATACTAAAGTAGCAAAAATAATAACTTATAGAAACTATTGATTTATTCGAGTAGATCAAATAATGAAAGAAAAAGTTGTTCATTAGCTATATATCTTTGAATAAATGATTACTATTAAATTCATATTAGTAGAATCTATCAATACACTTTTTTTTTTGCATAATTTGTATTTTATAGAACAGAAACAATAACAAGTGCTGAATGTAATAATGAACCAATTATTCAGTTAACATTTATGCAACGTATATTTAAATTACATGAATATGTTGCATCATGTGGTTATTGTCAAGCATCACCTAATCCACATAGTTCATCAAAATTTTGTCCTAATTGTTATCAAATATGTTATTGTGATGAGTGAGTTATTCATATATTTATTTCATTATAATATTATATTTTCTTTTTTTTTTTTCAATTGATGATAGTATATGTCAAAAACTTCATGCACAAGAACATAAACATTATTGTGGATTTCGATCAACAGAAAATTATGAAGTAATTGGTATTCCATTTATTATTTCATTACCAGAATCGAAATTAACATGTAAAAATGTATTTGAACAGATTAGTATTTATGCTAAGTAAGGTTTTTTTTTGTTATAAAAACAAAATTGATTAATAATGCTTTTTGTTTGTATATTTTTCTTTTTAGACGAAGTGTAGATATTCATATAGAATGTTCAAAACGTACTCGACGATCATTACCATTAAATGATGATTATGATGGTGTGAATAGTGATTTAGAGGACGATGAAAGAGATGATAATGATGATGAAGATACGTAAGTTTAAAACCATAATGATCAAATGAATATGTAAAAAAAAAAGAAACGAATGATACATAGAGGTGTCTACTGCATACATGGCTGATAATTGATTGGTTTCATCCTTCACTATAAATGAAACCAATCTTATCAAAAATTAATAGTAAATCAACCGATCGATTATTAGCATTTGACGTGAAAGTCTTAGCATAAAATATTCTTTCGTTTTTCAGAACACTAAAAGACAATTTTTTTCTATTTCCGAATATATGTCATATTTTCTTTCTGTGGTAAAGATGAACAAAAAAGTCTAAGACTGTGTTCATACAAAGTATAATAGCGGTTTTAGTGCAGTCCGTAGTCTGTATCTTGGAACGGTTTCCATTTAACATTATTATGAGAATATAACAATAAGCGAAATCTCATCTATACATTTCCATTAAAGAGCCACTATTCATTTCAAAATATAAAGTGCTCCACTATTTTTTTCAATAACTTTTGATAGAAATATCACAGAGATCATTCAAAGGCGAAGACCTAAGGCCATCGAAACCTAATTAGTCAATCAGATGAATTCTTGATGGCGATTTACGCAAGACCGACATTCCTAGCTTATTCCATTTGAGAGTTATAAGACTTTTTCTGATACTCCTGATTTCAGTCAATTGATCTATGATAATCCGGAAAGGCAGATAGACGATTAGTCTTATTAAAAGTCTAAATCGAAAGGAAAACATTGTTTTCGACAATCTTTATTATCAATAACTCATTTAATTGGTCAATTGCTGACCAATCAAATTTCGATGACCCTGGATCGGTGAAAAACCGTAGATCTCTATAATGTTTCTATCAAAAATTATTCAAAAAAAAACAAACAATGGAACACATTATATTTTGCAATCGATAATAGGGAAGCAATATCTAATTTACTGTGCTTTGCTTTTTTTTCTGTTTTAGTTTTAGTGATATTGAAAATATTGATTGGCCAACAATAAAAAATACTCTTTCATCATCTGATTCTTGGTCTATATGTCGTTTAGGTGATTATTTTGTTAAAACTGGTAAAAATAAACGTCGTCGTCATTATCATCATGAACAAATAAATTCTAAAGATAAAATAATTGAAAATAATAATCATGATGATGAAACAATAATATCAAATAGTGATAGTAGTACAGAAGAATTTGATATGCTTGATGATATATATAGAAATCAACAATTATTTCGTTTAATGCCACAACCATCAAATAATTCAAATAATATAATTCAACCAATTGTTGAACCAGGTTTGAAATAAAATTTTTTTCAATAAAAATATTCAAAACTTGTCTTTTTCTTTCTCTTTTTCTTTTCTTATGTAATTAGGTGATGATGCTGATAAAATTTTACGTCGTTATACAACATTTTCAATTGATTGGTTTACAGATAATAAAAATGAAGCACCATTACGTGTTATACCATCAAAACATCGTAATGGTATAAATGATCTTATTGAAGATGGTAGTGTTTCTAATATATCTTCTGGTGGTATGAAAATTTTTATAACTAAATTTATTTTCATATAAAATATCTTCTTATAATTTTTAGATCAAGATATAACACTTCAACAATGTCTTCAAATGTTTATTGAACCTGAAGTATTAGGTCCTGATGATAAATGGTTTTGTCCAAATTGTAAAGAACATATGCAAGCTGAAAAGATTATGTCAGTTTGGCGTTTACCACCAATACTTATTATACATCTTAAACGATTTAAATATAATCATGGTTCATCATTTGGATATTTTTCTGATTCAAGAGTTAAAATTGATACAAATGTTAAATATCCAGTTCAGTATGTATTTTAAAATACAAAAAAAACAAAAATTATTTTAAAGAAAAAAATGTTTTTTTTTTCTAGTGATCTTAATATGGCTTCATATTGTTCATCAACAACAGATTCATCTCAAACTCGTTATGATTTATTTGGTATTATAAATCATCGTGGTAGTGCATGGTTTGGACATTATACAGCTCATGCAAGACTTTTAGCTTATAATGATTCAGCTAAAACTGAAATTGGTAAAGCAAATTTTTTTCTTGATAATTTAATTTGTCTTTTCTTTTTTTTTTTTGTTTTCTGTAGCTTGGAGAAATTTTGATGATGAACGTGTATCAACATTATCATATGAAAAAGATCTTGCTCGATCTGATGCTTATGTTCTTTTTTATCGTCATCGTCATTTACCAGTTAATTTTGTTATAAATGAACAGAATACATCACCAACATCAATGGATATATATGAAGATACAGTAACAATGGAATCATCTTCGATGAAAGATATACAAGATCTTTTACAATAAAAAATTTCTAGTACTAATTGAAACTATTTAACTATATTATTTAAAAAAAAACGGTTAATATGACATTGTGATTTTCTTCTTTTTTTTTCTGCTTAGACAACGCGTTGTGTTTTTCTTCTTTTCTTTTACGGAAACATCCCGTGTGTGTCCTTCTTCTGGTTTTTTTTTATTATTTTCGCGCAAAAAAAAAAACATTAAAAAAATACGTTTGTAAACTTGAAATGAAATTATGTTAGGATATTTTAGACTGAAAGGTGAGTGAAATATGAATGTTGATGATGCACTAGATTTAGAATAAAAAAACAAATAAACAATGTGCCTATTGGATTTCGGTATACGAGATAAGCGAAATTTTCAAAGTGGAAAAACATGATGAAAAAGTTCAGAATATCGATGATTGCTCGTTTCTTATCTGTTGTTTTCATGTTGAATAGGACTAAAGTGAATACCTGGGTCATAAGAGAGCTGCACAAATACAAATACAGGAAAAGGGAAAATTGGTCGAACGAAAAATAGTCGAGAAATTCATAATAAAAAAAAACATAATAAAAGCTTCAACTGAGACGAATAAAATATGAACTAAAATATTACAAAAAGAAAACAGAAGACGCCAATATCAAAATGCAGATCATTGCAGCGAAGGATGTTTTTCTGATACATACAGCATATGAAATAGAATTTCTTTTCAAAATTACAACTGTTAGATTCGTGGATTTTCATGAAATTATATCAAAATAATTCTGATATAAATGTGAAAACAAGAAAAAAGCATTTCGAGAGTGCGATGTATAGATGGAACCGATCTATCGGTAATAAACGAGATACTGGTGATACGGCAGCTCATCATTGAATGCCGGTCTACCGACAATATACCGATCCACAGGCAACAAACCGAGCTGTACAGTGAAATCTTGCTCCATAGTGAACTGTTTTGAGTTAAATTGGTAGCTTGCCGATACTGGCATAATGCTTCACTATTGACAACAATAGCTTCATTAAGAGTGTTCTCTAAACTATTTGTTAAACTAATTGTTGCGTGATCGGCGAGATTAAGCTTGGTTCCCCCTTTTTTTTATATGGATACAATCATAGATCAGGAAAGTGGAAAATTTAGACTGGTATAGACCGGTTGATCGGTAGACCCGTACCGGTTCCATCTATGGTGCGATGTGAATGCCGGTATGGGTGAGGGTATCGATGTGGTTGTCGGAGTCGGTGTTGATCTCGTTGTAGATGCGAGTATGGGTGTGAGTGAGTGTGTGATAGAGTTCAAGAGGATTTACCCCAATATCCGTACCCATTCTTTATTTTTACTTTTTCTCTCTCTTTAAATGAATTGTTCTGGAAAAATGCTCGGCGTCTACTTTACTTGTACATGGTACTAACAAAAAAATTTTAAGCATTAGACACAGCTTACAAACTAATATTTTTTATTTTCCATACTGCTGACGATTTTGTCAAAAAATTCTTTTTTTTTCTTTTTATTATAAATTTCTTGATTATTTTTCGCTTCGACCAATTTTCGTAGACCCATAATAAGCACAGTGACTGCTAGCATTGGATGATAGAAATGAGATCTCTATTTTTCAGCAATGGAAAGGTGTTGAACGTTAAAAACCGTAACATATACACAACTTAGGTATTTATTGCTGCAATCAAAATCAAAATTAGTGAAAACCATTGAGTAACATAGATTGTTGCTTTCGTGCAATAACTCTTAGGTACTCCATATATGTATTCTCGGGGATGGGTATGGATGCTGGTATAGGTGTGGGTATGAGTATGGATTCTGTTTTTACCAACATCCATACCCATACCCTAGTTTTTTATCAGTAGAATTGATTACCATTTTAAGTGAATGAGGTAGATGATTGTTTTCTTATCTTTACTTTCCTCTTTATCTGAAATAAGATATGTAATAGGTGGTAATACTAAGACCTTTCCTTTCAGTTGGTGATACAGGTGTTGCGAGTTATTATCGTTCAGTTGGCGTGGTGGGTTATTGTTATTATTATTGAATAGAAGCAAATCTTGTTGAATGAGATTTTTGTTATCATTTACTCCTCCGTCAATTAATAATTGTCGAATTTAAATTCGATTGATTTGTAATTTTTCTTCATCTTTTTTGCCTTCGTTGTATAAGGTTATGTTTGAGATAATTTTTTTGATTATTGAAACCAGCGTTGTTTTTCTTATTATATTTATGTTTTTCATATTCAGTGTAAGCGAGTATTTTTTTAACGATCGACATTTGTCATCAACAAAATTAATTGTTTAAAATGATTTTATCTTTACATTATTGATAATATTCCATTGTGCATGAAGTAAAGATGTGACCATTATCCAGGAAATTACAGATGACATTAAAGTCATAATGCAACAGAACGGTCAATGTTCGTTCAAAGTGATTCTTTTCCTAAAGTATTAATTTTTTTCTAAGACTAAATATGTTTAGATTCTGATGTACTGATGTCTGATCCTCAGGATACGCACCAAAAAATAAGTTAAAAAAAATACTAACTGAGAAGATAGCAGAAGCTTCATCGGTTTCTTTCTTTTGAAGTAACAACTATCAGCGTATGGTCTTACTGAAAATTCAAAAAGCAAACATCTTTGGGCTGTAAATTTCTTACTTTTAAAACTCAAAAATCGGATAATACTGATGAATTCGAGAGAATTGAAGGCTTTGGAATTTTTCAACCATGTTACTAGCATATGTTTACATATCAAGCATCGATGCTCAAAATATGCTTGCTCATTCATGTGTTAAAAGTTTATCTTATGCCATTAGATGAACGATCCATGGACACTCATGAGTGAGCTGACTTGCTTCAGCCTGATTCGTCCCACTGAGACCTCTGATATAAATTTTGTTTTATTTTGGAGTGTCATGAGTATTGAAATTGTCTCTTTTATATATATATATCTTATTTTCAGTCTATAAAAATCAAATTTATTTAAATAACAAAAAGTTTTCAACAGTTTATATTTTGTGTAATGTTCGTTTATCTATTTCTATGTTTGACCCAGTTATGCAGTGAAAGAAAGGTATTTGTTCAGTGCTAATCTTGGATTTCGACGAATTCTGATTTAGCCAGCATCAATTTCAGATCTAACGAGGGAAGGCCATCAGCTATTCAATCGCTTTTATGTTCAGACTGCGTAGGTCCAAATGACATATGAATGCCATGAAAAAATTTCTGGTAATTATCTTATTGCTACAGAGATACTGAAGTTTTATTAGCACTTTTTAAATAATATGCCGTGGCCCCCTCAGGAACACCAGAAAAATTGATTTTCGAATTTCGACTTGGAGCTTTACATAGAAACAGGGCTTGACAAGAATAGTTTTTTCTGAATGTTTCAAATTTTAACGCTCTTCCTATCCGCAGATACGACTATGGTAATAACGTGTCTTTTATATCATCCGAATATGTCAGGAGATTTTGTGTTCTTATTTCAGGATAGAAACCAATCAAAAGAACTCAAATTGTCATAAAAAATACTATTATCGTCAAGCTGCATTTCTATGTACAGTTTCAAGTCAAAATTCAAAAATCAACTTTTCTGGTGTTCTTGAGGGGAACCACGGCATTCATTTTAAAAAATACCAATAACACTTCAGCATCTCCGTAAGGATAAATTAACTACCCGAAATTTTTTCAGGGTATTCATAAGTCATTTGGACCTGCATAGTGCATATAGTCTCAGCACAAAAGCGATTGAGCAGTTGGCGACCCCCGCTCGTAAGATTAAATTAGTAGTTCAATATCAATTCCTGAGGACAATTTACTATAAAATCCAAACAAGTCTCTGGATCCATGTCGAATTGATTTTGCTTTCTGTGAGCTACCACAAAACAATGAGATTTCAAAAAAAAACCAGTGATCATTTGATGAACTGAGCACGAGTTCCATGAGTGGTGAGCAGCTTTCCACAGAATCTTTTCTGCCGCATAAGGTGGGTTCTCAAAGCTCGGATCATCCCTTGATTCATCCGTTGATTAGCGAATCGATTAGATGCCATTCCCATTTCATAGTTTATCAAGAAGAATCCGAATAGGATATATTTGTCTGAAAACTCATTCAGATTTTGTAATAAATTACTTCCTCGATCTGTGATTGAAGCTGTTCAATGTCAAGTTGAAATTTTCCTAGGTTTATCCAGGATTGACATCAGTCTTCAATCAGCTGACGAAATATGTTTCAACAAGCAGGCTTCTTTTGGATTTTTTTACTGAACGTCCTGAAGGGAGCAGAGAGTCTTCGAAATTGGACAAACCTAGACAGGGAAAGAGATTAAAGATGCGACTTTTGCGTGAACGTCTTTTATGAGTGGCCTCTATGCAAATTGTCGTTCTTCGTATTCTCCATCAATGAGTATGAAGTGACAATTTGAGACAGAATCAGTTTCAATTGTTGCATATGTAATATTAAAATCATCAACACCAACTTTGACATTGGTTCCAGAGGCAGGTTGTACTAAAAATACTGACATTGGTAATATAATTTTTATTGATGATATATAAAATAAAACTACATTTTTTTTTGTTGAAATGATTCTTCATTGTCCAATGTTGATTTTTCAAGTTGTTGCTTTTGTTCCGACGTAAATAATAAACAATAAAAATAATTTTTTTAGCTTTCAATTATTAAAAAAAAATTATTATTTAATTGAGTATTTCTTTGTTCTAAAATTGTTTCCTATAGATGTGTGTGTAACTTTAAAAAAACTGATCTTATATCAAAAACTCTTGAAACATAAAAGGAACTATCAGTTGATAATTCTAATATTCTCTGATGTTTTTTATTTATTGATGGACAATGCAAAAAAAAGACTTTTCTTGAAATTTGGAATTAAAAAAGATTCGTGTATTAAACTAATTGAATATTACTTGATATTGTTAATAACTTGTATACTTTGTAAAATAATGGAAATACATTAGAGAAAATAAAAAATGATTTAAGTTGAATAAGGTATTTTATTTGATGAAACTTAAAAAAAGACAAGCAAACTTTTTATATTTATTTCGTTGATGAATTATTATTCTTGTTTACGATGAAGCTGTTAAAATTGTTTTAGTAAAATGAAATTTGTTTCGTAATTTATTCATTTGTTCAAGGTAAAGATATGTGTTAGTTGTTTTCTCTTATTGACAACACGGGAATAGAAAAGATAGACGATTACACGTTGACTGTGTATAGTCCAGTCCAATGGCTATCTCTTTTTTTAATATCATTTGATAAATGGATCAAAATTGAAAAATAGTTCAATATTTTTTATTTATATTGAGTGTATATATTTAACTGTATTATTAGATAAACAAATAAAATGCTATTAAAAATGACTTGGCTATACTTTTAATCAAGAAATAGTATAGATAAATATTTGAACTTAAACTGAATCGAAAGATTTTTTGGCAGATAAACTTAAATTCTTGTTCCCTTAACCCTTTCAATCCCGAGATTTTCTTGCGTTCTGCATGTGCACGAAGAAAAATAGCTGAATTTCTTTCTTGCGTTCCGTTGTCACAATCAGCTGGACTTGAAATTTAGCATCATGATTCAAACTCATAAGGAACGATTTGTCTCGTAACAGATTGTGGGTGTGGGTCTTCTCTTCATCCACCCACACCCACATCTGCAGCCACAACCCCACGGACATCCACACCCACATATACAGCCACAACCACACAGACGCCCACACCCTTCAGGACCACAAAGGGTCTTTCTAGTCGTGCGCGTCAGCAGAGAGAATCAAGAATGCTGGAAAAGTGTATAGTAATTGGAATCAGTTTATTGAACAGGTAAGTAAAAAACAAATTTATATCTTCTTTTTTACATCCTGCAAGCGTTGTCTATACAAATGAATGTCCAAGTTATTCGACGGTAATGAAAGTTGTGCAATATTAACAGCATCTTCGTAACATTGGCTTGCCTTCTTGTATTCTCCCATATTTTCATACACAAGACCGATATCATGTTTTGAAATAGCCAAATGGGAATGATTTGGAGAAAGAACTTTTTCTCTTAGTTTGAGTGCTTTTTCGTGAAACTCAAGTGCTTTTGAAAAGTCACCCATATTGTTATACACCTGACCGATGTTTCCATAAGAAGCAGCCAAATCTGTATGATTAGGATATAGAGCTTTTTCGATTATTTTGAGTGCTTTATCGTAAAACTCAAGTGCTCTCGAGTATTCACCCATGTTCTTGTACATTGTACCGATATTATTATAAGAAGTAGCTAAATGGGAATAATTCGCAGGCACAGCTGTTTCGTAGATTTTATGTGCTTTGTCTTAAAATTCAAGTGCCTTCGAGTAGTCACCCATGTTGTTATACACTGTACCGATATCGCTGTAGCAAGTAGCCAAATGGCGATGATTCGGAAGCAGAGTTTTTTCGTATGTTTTACGCGCTTTGTCGTGAAATTCGACTGCTTTCACATAGTCACCTATGTCGTTATATACTTGACCGATGCTACCGTAACAAATAGCCAAATCGGGATGATCTGAAGGTAGAGCTTGTTCTCTTATTTTATATGCTCTTTCGTAAAAGTCAAGTGCTTTTGAATAGTCTCCCATGCTATAATACACTTGACCGATATTATTGTAGCAAGTAGTCAAATGAGGATGATTTGGAGGTAGAGCTTTCTCGAAGATTTTATGTGCTTGGTTGTGAAAATCAAATGCTTTCGAGTAGTTACCGATGTCGTTATATACTTGACCGATCGTGCCATAGCAAATAGCCAAATCTCCATGATTGGGAAATACAGCTTTTTCTCTTATTTTGAGTGCTTTTTCATAACATTCAAGTGCTTTCGCGTAGTCGCACATGTTTTTGTACATTGTACCGATGTTATTATAGGAAGTAGCTAAATGGGAATGATTCGCAGGCAGAGCTGTTTCGTAGATTTTATGTGCTTTGTCGTAAAGTTCAAATGCTTTTGAATAGTCACCCATGTTGTTATACACTAGACCGATGTCACTATAGGAAATAGCTAAATCGGGATGATTCGGAGGCAGAGCTTTTTCATAGATTTTATGCGCTTTGTCGTGAAATTCAAGTGCTTTCGGATAGTCGCCCATGTTGTTATACACCAAACCAATGTTGTTATAGGAAGTAGCCAAATCAGGATGATTTGGAGGCAAAGCTTTTTTACTTATTTTGAGTGCTTTTTCGTAATACTCAAGTGCTTTCGAGTAGTCACCCATCTTATTATACACTTGACCAATGTTGTTGTAAGAAGTAGCCAAAGTAGGGTGATTGGGAAGGAGAGCTTTTTCTCTAATTTTAAGTGCTTTATCGTAAAATACAAGTGCTTTCGAGTAATCACCTATATTATTATACACTTGACCGATGTTGTTGTATGAGAAACCCAAATCAGGATGATTTGGAGGTAGAGCTTTTTCGTAAATTTCGAGACCTTTTTCGTGAAATTTTAGTGCTTTCGAGTAGTCATTCATGTCTCCATATACAGAACCGATGTTGTTGTAAGAGAAGCCCAAATCGGGATGATTTGGAGGAAGAGCTTTTTCGTAGATTTTATGTGCTTTTTCGTAAAATTCAAGTGTTTTTGAGTAATCACCCATGTTGTTATACACTTGACCGATGTTGCCATAGGCCTTAGCCAATGATGGATGATTCGGAGGCAGAACTTTTTCGTAGATTCTATTTGCTTTTTCGTAAAATTCAAGTGCTTTCGGATAGTCGCCCATGTTGTAATACACCAAACCAATGTTGTTATAGGAAGTAGCCAATGAAGGATGATTTGGAGGCAGAGCTTTTTTCGTAATTTCCAGATCTTTTTGGTAAAACTCAAGCCCTTTCGAGTAGTCGCCTATGTTGTTATACACTTCACCGATGTTGCCGTACGAGGTAGCTAATTCCGGATGATTTGGAGGTAGAGCTTTTTCTTTAATCTTATGTGCTTTTTCGTAAAATTCAAGTGCTTTCGAGTAATCACCCATGTTGTTGTACACTTGGCCGATGTTGCCGTACGAAGTAGCCAATTCCGGATGATTTCGAGGCAGAGATTTTTCTTTAATCTTATGTGCTTTTTCGTAAAATTCAAGTGAATTCAAGTGATTTCGAGTAGTCACCGATGTTGTTATACACTAGGCCGATATTGTTGTAGGAAGTAGCCAGCGAGGGATGATTCGGAGGTAGAGCTGTTTCGTAGGTTTTATGTGCTTTTTCGTAAAATTCTAGTGCTTTCGAATAGTCACCCATATCGTGATACACTCCACCGACGTTGTTGTAGGAAGTCGCCAATGAAGGATGATTTGGAGGCAGAGCTTTTTTGTAAATTTGATGTGCTTTTTCGTAAAATTCAAGTGCTTTCGAGTAGTCACCCATGTTGTTATACACTAGACCGATGTTGCCGTAGGTGGGAGCCAATGAAGGATGATCTTCTGGGAGAGCTTTTTGGTGGATTTTGAGGGATTTTTCGTAAAACAAAACTGCTTCTTTGTATTGTCCTTGGTCCTTTTTCACCCATGCAAGCTGGTTATAGATATATGCCTTATCACTATTGTCGGATGCTTGTTCTAGTAGTGCGATATACAGTTGTTCGGCCTTGTCGAATTGACCAATTTTGAGCAGCAATGTACCCATTCGATACCATCCATTGCCATCGACCTCTTCTCGTATACGATCGGTTAATCGGCGGAGCTGTTGGTCGTCGTCTGACGTAAGTTTTAGGTCCACTTCATAAAGTGGACTTGTCAAGTGAATTTTTCGAATGTCACCAATTCGAAAAACTGTATGCATGGAGAAGAGAATTTCCTCTTCTTCCTTGAGATAGCTTTGCTCCTGGACGGAGGCGAATGGAGCCGATGAGATTGTGGGATCTATGGTCATTTGGAAAAGGACACCGACCATATCGGTTGCTTCCAAGTTACTTCCAGCGAAATAGAGGGAGACTTCACGATTTCTACTGGTGGATAGAAAAGCATTAAATGAAATAAGTCCACCTTTGTTTTTTGAGAGTTTTTCGAAGTCTTCTGTTGATAATTCTTGGCCCCGGTAAACTAGAAATGTCTTCCCTTTATAGAGACTGACCTGTTTCTTGTGTAAATGTTCGATTTGTCGATGAACATCGCACAAGAAAAATCCCATTCGGATGATGATGTCACCATCCAGTGTGCGTAATGCTCGATTGAGCATTTTGTATGTGAAACATTGGCGTGTATACCACCATAGTGCCAATGTTGGATTATACTCACGTCGAAATTCATTAATAATTTTGATTTCTTTGGTATTGCCTTGATATTGGTCTTGGCAAAACTTGACCAAGTCGTTGATAGCTTCTTGGCCATGTTCCACATCAAGGAGAATTTCCTTGAATATTTGTGAATACATGAAGGTAGGTTCTAACTGATTGAGATTTTCACTAGAACCTCCTTCATTAACACCGACAATACTGACCGAGATATTATTTTGATTACATTGTTTAACAGCTTTTTCCAAGGCCTGACATATTGGTTTGATTGATGTGTAAACACCTTTAATTTTTGTCCAATTTTTGGCCCATTCTTCATGGTGTTGTTTGTTGCCACAAAATATGTAGATTGTATCCACTTTTGTCATGCCATGAATGTCTGGGACTAGATGTTGTCCAAGTGAACCCGAGGAAATAACAAATGATGTTTCCTCATGATTTTCATCGAGCTGTTGAACACATTGTTCAGCCGTGGTGCATAGCTCGACTTGATTGACGATACCGCGCAATTGCACTAGTGTATTTTGGACATCTTCATTTGCCATGTCGACGTTTCCATCGACCCATATGACCAAGTAATTTTCAGCCATGCGTTGTCTTTGATGTCGACTCATTGCCGATATAATGTTTGCTGTTCGATTAGTAATGGAGTAATGTGAATAATAGATTGTTGCTTGGACAGGTATCACCTTTCTATTTATGCATTCAATATGGGGTGTTTTTTGAGATTTTTCTACAACGTCACATGTGGATATGTTTTTTCTTTTTCGTTGACACTCAGAAACAAACTCCACCTAGTATCAATTGAAAATATGGTTCTCAACAGCAAATGAAAGAGAAAAAATGCAACGACATTATTTTATGGTTATTCTTTCCAACTTTCGTTTGCTTTTCATCTACACAACCACTTGAATGTAAATGGGTTGGATGTCTTGCCTCTCCTTTTTTCTCTTTCTGGCAAGAACGAAAAAAATCAACAAAGACATCGTCAGTGTTCGCCTTCTTTTACTATGATTATAATAGTAATTATAATAATGTGAAGCAAAACAAGAAGAAAAATAATTTCAATTTTCATTGCCATAATAGTCGAGCAACGATGTTTTCGTATCTTGCGAAATATAGTATATATATCGACAACAGCAATAACAAACTTAGTTTTGTAGTTTTGTATTTTTATTAACTTTTTATGTATTTGAATTTTTATTAGTTGTTAATTTTGTTTTTTCATGTCACTGCGTAGCTTTCATTATAATTATTGTTATATTTGTGTCTTAAACGTAGTTAAAGTTATAATTAGCGTCTAAGTATGATATGAATTGTTTTAAAATTTGTGTTTTTGCAATGCAGAGCCCTGATGAGTGTTTTATTATTTTAATAAAATAAACATGAAACGCGTCGGCGAAATTAAACTCTGCATTCTCTTTTTATTATTTCGTAAAGCACGGATATTCAATTTTTCAAATCAATTACGACTTCATTGGTTGCTGAAAAGCAAGAGTTGAGACTAGCAGATTGATTTGTATCAGAGAGATATAGATCGGTCTGTTTTCTATCTAAGTTACCCAGCAAAATTTAGGTGATTGTTTTAAATATTCAAATCATAGAACATGTTTTGATGTGATTTAGTTTGAACTTCGTTCAGAATTATTTGATCTTGTTCAATTCAATTTATGGTTTTATTTCAGTTTCGCTTTTGACTTACATCTTTTTACTGTATTCAATTCCAACTTTCATTCTGAATTTAATTTTGATTTCGATTAAATTGGCCTTTTTTCAATTTTCATGTTAATTTTCAAGTTTAATTTTTAATTTTTAATATTAAAATTTCGCTTTTTACTTATGCTTAAGGAATGCTAATGTAGAGCCCTGAAGAATGTTTCATTATTAAAATAAATAACATGAAACGCGTCGGCAAAAATAATCTGCACTTCTTTTATTATTTTCATTCAAGTATATTTATTTATATTTATTCAATTTTAATTTGATTTTCAACAGGAAATCGATTGCTGAAAAGTAAAAGTTGAGACTAGCAGATTGATTTCTGTTATAGAAATATAAATCGATCTGTTTTTCAGTTGATTTACTACCAAATATTGATTAAAACCATCTCTTAATATGTGCCTATTTTCCTTTTTCTTTTCATTATTCTGTTTACATTTTATTTAAATTTTTTCATATTAATCTTTCCGTTTTAATTTTTGCTTTTTTGCTTCTAATTGTAAATACAGAGCCCTGATGAGTGTTTCAATATTTTAATAAATAACACAAAACGCATCAGCGAAGTTAATTCTGCAGTTTTTCATTATTTTAATTTAAGCAGATTTATTTATTTACAATTCTATTGTTTGACTTGATCGATTGCTGAAAAGCAAGAGTTGAGAACAGCAGGTTGATTTATATGATAGGCATATAGACCGATTTGTTTCTAATTAGTTGAAAATATATATCGTAAACCTTTGAAATTTACTTGTTGATAGTCTTTTTCGACTGTCATATAGTTTATTTCAATATATAGGTTTTGTTATATTCCTCTCTATTATATTTATGTAGTTTTAATTCCGAACATACTTTATGATGACTATCTAAGCAATAGTTGAAACGTGTCGTATAATGCTTGGAATTATTCTTATGTAAACATATCTACACCCACACCTACACCCCATATCCTTTTCGCAGGTATAAGATGCAGTGATACTACTCTTGATGAGATTGATAAACTCCATGGCGTGAAAATTTTGCAGCATTCTACCTTTTTATTAACTTGAAAAACAATTACTTCAATAAATTCACAAATCTTTGCTGTATTTTCATATAAACTATTTATTAAAAATGTTAAAGCAAGTATAAATGATGATTAAATGTAAAAACGAATAAGAATCATAAAAAAAGTGAAAAGCATGAATACGTATTGCGACAAAATGAAAAGAGAACAAGCTAGACAAAGCAATTAGGAATAGAGAAACTAACTATTTAAGAAACCTTCACCATGGATTAGTAATCTAAAATGAGTTGCCTGTTCTCGACTAAAACTACATCTTGTAAATATGTCACATTATATAAAAGTACTCTAATCTGAATTAGAATTTGTGTTCGATAAGATTTTCAAAGGCTGAAAAGCCTTTTCATAAGTACGAATGACACAGATCCTCTTCAAGATTAGTTTGCTTTTATATAATAAAAAAAATTTTTAAAGACAAGAAGTTCGGCTAGGATACATGAAAAAATGAAACAAGACCAAATTATGTTCAATCTTACTTCACCAACGTGTTCGAAAGTTTTTATGGCGCTTGCGGGCCA